ACTTGCTATTCGTTATGCATATTCATCGATCCCTTATTTTGCAATGGCAAACAATTTGAGCCCAATAAAATATCTCTTGTCCCAAGTTTCTTGGTATTGTGTCAGAAAAAGAAGCTGAAGGAAAATACCAGAAAGGAGTGAGAGAAATAGGGCCAAGAAGAAGTTTTTTCCATTCCTCCACACAAATAATATCTATGTTTCAGCACCTATTTTTCCTAACCCATCACCACACCATAAGTTCGAAAAGTTATAATCTTTTCTATCTCCTACAAAAATAGTACAATTCTAAACCTAAGTGTTTATATTAAATTATATCAAGGGCAAAAGCTCACTCTGCACTAAATATTACATTACAAATGCACTAAATATTACATTACAAATGCTATATAATACAGTATTTGTAGTACAGTAACTTTAATCATAAATATAACAAGCTATTAATTATAAAAATTGAATTATTCTATTCATGTTTGATTTTATTGGTTATTAGCACATTTTGGTATTTATTTCATTGAATAAACTGAGTGAAAACTATCTGCAAACTCACTGCAAACTATTTAACAGTGAGAACTATTACTTCATTTTCCATTCGTAAACAGGAGGGTATATTGAATATACTAAAGAAATATTTAGTTCAATATTTAGTGGACCTCTGGTGGTGGGTGTGGTGTTGAAACAATTTATGCCTGAGACTCCATTATTAATAGTATTTTCAATCACAATATCTAATAAAAATTGGTGATAAAGTGCCTTATTTTTACTAATCATCATGTGTTTCAGTATTCTAAGGTATTATAAGTATTGAATTAATGTATATATATCGTATTACTTCCCTGGAAATAGATACTGTAAGTTATCAGAATCAATATTTTATATGAGGATTCAAAATTCTTAAATACAATTAAGATCAATGCAACAGAGGAAACAGAGGGTTCTCAAAAATATATTATTTTCAAACCAAAAATTATCATAATAAAAGAAGCTGGCAAAAACATCACATCTTCACCACTAGCAGACACAAATAATAGACCTGTTTCTTGATATAAAAATCTTCTGCTTCAATTCCAATTCTGTAGAAGCATATTAAAATGGTCAGCTATCTTTATTATATATTTATTATTATACACTTAATAATGGAGCTAAGAGCAATCAACTGAATGATTAATTTCTTAAACAGGTCCTTTATATACCTTTCATTTACCTCCAACATTTCACTTTTTTCACATATGTAAGTAAATTACAAGGTTTGTCAAATTAATAACTACCAAAATTATTTTCTCCTGTGTAATGTATTCTATGGATAGTAAAATAAAAGTTTTTTATTTTTGAGGATTTAAATAAGTGATGTCCCCTATTAAATAACAAAATGAAAAAAATTGGAATTTAACTTGGAAATTCAGTAATATTAATTACACTGGTGTGGGTTACATGTGAATATTCACAAAGTGAAGATTCATGATTTCATCTATGTTAACCCAAATGGTACCTAGACAGAAAAAAAGGAAATAAATGTATAGAACTATAAGTATTATATTTGTGAGAATAAAAACCTCTTAATTTATAAAACAATAACCCATTATATATAAAGTATGCATATGCCACATATACATATGTAGTAGTAATTTCTATATATACATATGTGTATATATACACATCCATACAGAATTGCCTATTACACATATTATTGCTCCTATTATTTTTAAAAAGCCTATATTAATCAGAAAACATTATGAAATTGATGATGTTTATGTCATATTCACCTGAATTTTTATAGCTGCTTAGTTTGAACTAAGTTAAAATGTTTAAATTCAAATTAAGCCATCTCAAATACAGTGTCCTCTCATTACTACTTCTACCATTGTCTTGGATCATCAAAGTCTTATGTCTCAAATTTCAGTTATGTTTCCATTATCATAGTCACTATAAAAATTTACTGGCAAAGACACAGCATCGTTGTTCAAAGGTTAGAATTGTTTAAACAAACAAAAAAGTAAATTAACAAAAAAAATAACGCATTATAACAGTTTAAAAAATTTTGTTCTACTGCATTATCAATTTTCATAAAGCCAAATATAAATACCATTCTTTTTATATGTCAAAGATTTAAAGAAGTAATTTGCGAAGTTAATAATTGTTTTCCATGTTATCTTTCTAAACTCATTTAAATAATGGTACCCAACATACCCACATCCTTATGCATCAACGTATTTTTAGAATATTGCCTTTTAAATAAAAGCTAAAGTCTTTCTATGAATATCCTATATAAGTACATAATGTCAAAATTATTACTGAATCAACATGAGTTCACTTTCAATTACTTTCCACTCAACATCTTGTAGTTAAAGGGATGATACAATATGTCATTTTATGTCATTGTAGTTAAGGGGATTATACAATGCATCATGTTGTGTCATTTTTAAATATAATTATTATACCATCTTTTCAGTTGCCATGAATGATCTGTCAAAAGTGGATGTTTCAGTTGAATTTACTATTATAATAAAGATTCTGAAAAAAATGATAATTTTATGCAACAAAATATAAACCCTAAACATAATACCTGTATGAATGCTTTGTACTTTGTGAAAATGTATCTAGTATTAAACATTAAAATTAACTTAGATAATACTATTAGGGAAATAATCATGGAAAAAATAAGTGACCTAGTCCATGGGGTAGAAAACTTATGTAAGTAAAAGAATTATCTCCTTTGATACAAAATTCCATTCTCATATAAATTTATTTTCCCTAAATAATGTATTCCTCATTTATGAGTAAAATTTCTATCCATTTTCAAGACAGTCTTACATTCTATATTTAATAAGTAAAATATAAACATTATATTTTTCAAGTCATATTGTAATCTGATATAGTTATGACACTCAGTTTTCAAATGTCAAAAGCACCAGGATAATTGAGATTGTACTTTAACCTGATTAGTATATATTACACAAATATGTGCATGTTTATTAAGGAAATAACAGTAATTGGAATTGTGTAGGTTTGCACTTGCAGTTTTTACTATTTATATGCTGTCTATTATCCACAAAATTATTTTATTAGGAGGATGTGACTATAATGAATCATTAGTTAAAGGGACACCATAGTTCTGTAGACACTATAAAGAATAATAATTTATTGAGAAAGGGAAGAAAGAAGAAAGAAGGGAAGGAGGGAAGGAAGAGAGGAAGGGAGGAAAGGAGGAAAGAGGGAGGAAGGAAGGAAGAAAGGAAGGAAGGAAGGAAGGGAGGGAGGGAGGGAAGGAGGGAGGGAGGGAAGGGGAGAGAGAGAAGAAAGTAAGGAAGGGAGGGAGGGAGGGAGAGAGGGAGAGAGGGAAGGGGAGAGAGAGAAGAAAGTAAGGAAGGGAGGGAGGGAGGAAGGCAGGGAGGGAAGGAAGGAAGGAATGGAGGGAGTGAAGGAGGAAAAGAGGAAGGAAGAGCGGGAAGGAGGAAGAGAGGAAGGAAGAAGGGAAGGAAGGAAGGAAGGAAGGAAGGAAGGAAGGAAGGAAGGAAGGAAGGAAGGAGGGAGGGAGGGCGGGCAGAAGGAAGCGAGAGAGGAAGGGGGAGTGAGGGAGGGAGGGGTTAAAACTAAGTGAAGGAAGAGATGATCAGAAATAATATAGAACATGAAATAAGTATGAATTTGACTAATGGGAAAGCAAAAAAAAATGAAGAATAAACAGAAGACTGACATCTATTTAAAAGTGTGGACCTAATCTTCTTATATAAGAAGAGCTGCATTTCAGTGATGTTCGTGAGAAATAGCAAATCATGTCCATTGGTTTTCTTGCTCTAAATTCCAAAATATCCAATTAGGTTTAATATATAATGCAGCAAATGCAACTGCAGCTCAAAAATTGCATTTTATATTAATATACTTGTGTTTTCTGTTTCATGCATTGTCCTGATATTTTATATAATTATAATCAAGGTACATACATACGTATGTGTGTCTAGAAGACATATATTTATATATATAGCTAGAAGAATACATACATATTGTCTTCTAGACAATAATAGGATTTTTTTTAAATACAAAGCTTTAGTATATACCAGTCACACAACTTTAGAAGGTGTTTTATGAAAATATTTGATGTAAGGCATTAGTGATTTGCGGTGAATTACATTCAACACATAATCATTTCTAAGGGCAAATGAATAACTACACAGTTAGAGAAACTGCACAGACCAGCAGGTACAGGGAGTCTGGATCTCCTGGGCGCTGCTCCCCTCTACTGGCAGAATTAGATAAGTGCCTGCCTCAACGCTCGCGTTTCTGTGTATCATCAGTCAATAGCTTCGTCTGCAAACAAGATACTGACACTTAAATATCCAATTTTCTTTGGTTTTGCTCACATGTAGAAGGATCGAAACTTGCGTTATTGTCTAATTAATTTTTTCATATAATCTCAATTTCACAGAGAAAGAAAAACTAATTCAGGATTTTCTTAATTCAAGTATGACTGACCAGCTGTAGCACAGGCTGGGAAACACAGTAGCCAAATGGAAACAGTAACAACATTCTTAATAGCAGGATTCTCACAAAATCTCAAATACCTAGATTTCGATAGGACTGTGTGTGGTAGTAAATTCAGTGCACACTAAAAATGACAATTTCACTTTTTGTTTTGCCTGCATGTCATTTAATATATAAAGATGAGTGAAACTTTAATCACTTCCTCCTAACCAAGCCTGTCATTCTTAGCAAGCTCATAACAGTGTTTCCTCCCAATGTTACCTAGGAAATATGGTCCATCATTGGGACGTTAAGGTTGAAGTTCATAATTAACTAGCAAACAATAAATCAAGCGTGTAAGTCCCAAATGTATCCTGGTATGGGATGGAGGTGGTGGGTTATAAGACTTATCAATCTCACAGTGCATCAAAATTGTTAATAAACTAGTTTTTTGTATAATAAGAAATACTTTTTTAATGGAAGAAGGAAAGGCATGGCATAGCTGAAGTTAAGGTTCAAGCTTTGTATCCTCTATATATAATATATTATGTTTTTCAAAAACTTTTTATTAGGAAAGCTATACCAGACGCATAATCACTATACAATGATTAAACATTACCTTTACAATTTATAATCACTGAAATTACATAATAAATATATGCACATTTCTTTTGAATCTTTGAGTGTGAGAAGACATTAAAAGTGCTTCCTACAAAGCTGTTAGTGATATATACCCAGTTGCTTTTTATGTTTTTTAATATTATATATATATATAAGAAAGTGAAGATGTTCTCCAAAAATCTTGGCATCACAAGATGAAGTGTCACAGAGGGTACTCATCCCTAGATGTTTGCTTCCGATAGTTATTCACCAGGCCTCCACTTCAGAAGGGCACAGACTGCTATGTGACTTTTCTTAGGATAGTAGGAGAAATGTGTGAGCTATACAATAATAATAATAAAGAGAAGGTGGTGCTATAGTGAGAAAATGAATGGATCAAACCCGAAATAATTAGACTGGGTTAAATGGGAGAGGGGTGTGTGTGTCTGCAAGTATGTTTCTGTGTGTACTGCACCTGGAGGAAGAGGCTGCAGGTATAGGGATTTAGCTCTGTGCAGGGATTGGTGATTTGCATGGGTCTGAAAGACAAAAGAGTGGGTGAGAACATTCGAGCAAGACCCGCCCCCTCCCTCCCCATCTTGCAGTTTCCAGGCATGCAGCAAACTGCATTGTTAATACATGTACAGTATCTGTGCCATGATGAGAAGAGGAAAGAAAGCCACAAATGTCAATTTTCTCCCTCCCACCCCCATCAAACAAAACTACAACTAAAAATAATTAATTTACCGAAAATAAAGACACATTGACTTTTACTTAATTAGGATCAACATAATGATCCCCATTATACCTTATACATGGCACAGTCAAAGTCTCAAGTTTCAGTATAAAAAATAATGATAACATTTGCTGGCAAAAGTCTGCGAAGGCACTTCATTGATTAATGATCTGAGTATGGCCCTTCCTCCAAATCACATTGGAGAGAGAAGAGCCTACATCTGTATTTTCTAGTTATCATGCGGTCTTGAGTTCTGTTCAGGGCAGGGAAGTTTGTGAGAGTGGAGTTTTGGGGACAAATATAAGGGGAAAGTGGATTGTGTTCCTTTTTTTCCTTTTTTCCTTTTTTTGTTTGGGGGTGGGGAAAAAGCACTGATTTTTTTTTTCATTTTCTATTAGAACCTATATGTTGTTTTCTCCAAGACTTCGAGGTAATCCGGCTTGGTTTGACGTTTGGCCCTTAACTCGAGGTAATCACTTTTTTGGGTTTGGTGGTCTGTGAAGCCCTTTCCAGCCGAGAAGAGAAGGGTTTCTTTGAGCCTGGCATCCTGCTGTAAGTCTGGATATTGCATGCCAGGAGGATGGACATGCAGTTCCTTTAACTTGGGCACTGTGCCATAAAGACAGTCCACAAATCCTACTGTGCATGTGGCTGGCTGTGGCCTCTCTCGGTCTAGTAGTATGCCACCACCACTACAGCCTCCCCCAGGAGGAAACAGCACCACCCCACCATTCTTCTCATGGTGACGGAACCCAGTCAAGTCTCCGCCAGGTCCTGGAACAACCCCTGGGACCCCACCAACTACTGGGTGGTGAGGGTGAGAGTGATGGTGATTGACTGTCACAATAGTGTTTAGCTGTGAGCTGGACACGGCCAGGGCCCACTCCTTCTCCTTTTCGAGCAAGGTCCGGTAGTTGCTGTGGTTCTCCTTGGCTGTCTCCGTGAACTGCTCACTGCCTAGGAGAACCTCCCCTATCCCTGGTGGTTGTGTCCCAGGACCGCCACGCTCTGCACTCCCTGTCTCCTGGAGTGAGGCAACAGTCACCTCTTCCTCCTCCCGGGGCTTGTAGATGGGATTGTTACACATCTGGGTAACTGGGTGGGGGATGTACTCATACACCCGACCCACAGGAGGGGCCTTGTCGGGGGAGGAAAGCGTTGGTCGGAGTCCACCCCCACCTCCACCTCCACCTCCTCCACCATCTTCAAAAAGCCGATGGCACTGCATCTGGATGCCAGTAAGATCCACACCTTCCTGCCTCTTGCTTCTAAAGGGCAGTTTCTTTCGGCGCCTTCGGAGGACGTAAGCAAAGAGTCCAGCAGCAACAAAGACTGCTGAAAAAAATAGAACCAGTAGGCTAAGAATCAGCACAGACAGTGGCACAGGGCCTCCAGGGGGGGAGAATTCATAAGGTGATGCACTTGTTGTTCCCCCTGCAAGCTGAGAATCTCCAGGCTGGGCTGGGGATACTCCAACAGGTACAGTGTGCAGCATCTCTGGGCAGAGAACTTCCAGCTCAACGCTGCGCACATCCCGGTGGGTGAGGTTCTCAGGGCTTCTGCAGAGCACATCGCCCACCACACTGACTGAACTGATGGTCTCAATCCATTGTTTGAAGGGGACTAAGTCACACGTACAGTCCCAAGGATTCTCATTCAGGTCTATCTGGACAATGGCATTCAAGTGTTCAAGGACACCAGTCACAGGAAGATAGAGGAAGTAGTTCTTTCTCAGGTTGAGCCTGGCAAGAGATGTGCCTGCAAAGGCGTCAGTTGGCAAGGTCCTCAACAGGTTATTGTTGAGGAAGAGTAGCTTCAAGTTCGGCATAAGACTGAAGGCTGCAGGCTGGATTTCCCGGATGACATTGAACTCAAAATATAGGTAGTGCAAACTCTGTAGGCCCCGAAACATGCCTGGTGTCAGTCTTTCAATGTCATTACCATTGAGAAAGAGGCTCTTTAGGTTGGGCAGATTGATGAAAGCTCCATCTTGGACATATGAAATACGATTGTTTCCCAAGTGTAAGAGATCCAAGGAAGAGAAATTCCAAAAATCAGAACGATATATTTTTTGAATCAGATTGCTACTAAGGTACAGTTTCTTGGCATTCAGTGGCCTTGGAAGAAGTTCAGAAATGTTATTGAATCCTCGTTCTTTGCAGTTGACAGTCAAGCCAAGGTCATTGATATGCAAATTACAGGTACACCCAGTAGGACATATAATGGGGATAGGTGGTCTAGTCTGATAAGGAGCAATGGGAGGTTGGTTGGGACCAGGGTATAAAGCTTGGGATGTGGAAGGTGGTCTTGGTGTTCGGGGCTGTTTAGTGGGCTTGGGTTGTTTATTTGAGGACTTATATTCAACAGACGAAGCAGTAAAATGAACAGAAGACAACATTGAAGAAGGCTTAGTTGGCCATGCATTCTCCTTGCTTGATGATAAATGGGGAATCCCCAAACTGGCTTCCACCTCAGAATCAGACAGCAAAGGACATAGCTCTGTCTTCCTGATTTCTCGTAGGTCTTTTCCATGGAAATGAAAAGGCGTCTCGCAGGTGATGTCTCCCACCAGGGCTGTGTAAGGAATCCGTTCTAGCCAACTCTTCAATTGCACAATCTCACATGTACAGTTCCAGGGATTTTCTTCAAGCTGGAGCTCCATTAGGCTTCTGCCAATGTGGTCTAACATTCCTCTATAAAAAAGAACCTTTAACCTATTTCCACGAAGATCCAAATGGGTTAAGGATACAGCCTTAAATAAATTTGTTGGAAGCATGGGAATGAGATTATCATTTAAAATCAGAACCCTCAATTTGCTCAGGTTCCGAAATGCACCACTTTCAATACGTTTGATGACATTATAATCTGCCTGTAGGTATTCCAGACTTTCCAAGCCAAGAAAGGTATCATTTCTGAAGATGTCTAGTTTGTTCTCATGTAGGTATAGCCTCTTTAAAATTTTAAGACCGTTGAAAGCTCCTGTCTGAATATCCTGTAATGCATTGTTCCCAAGGTTAATGGATACAGCATTATTCAAATGAAGAAAACTGTTGGTATACAATTTTCTCATGGAATTTCTCTGTAGGTACAGTTTAAAAGGTCTTGACCAGAATTCAGTAATCTGACTAACATTTGTAAATCCTTTACTGTCGCAATGTATATGAAAGAGGCTTTCTTTAACTTCACAGTAGCATGGATCAAAGCAGGGCTCATCTACTTCCTCCGAGTCCTCTATCAGGGGAATTGGGGTAGTCCATCCTAGAGCAATTGTACTCAGAAGAATCATCCACAACATCCTCCCTCTGTGAAGCATCTCAGTTATGGAAGATTTCATCTTTTGTGGTTGATTACAAAACTGCAACAGAAATAAAAATGCAGATTTTAGCTTTTAGTCATAGGTACTGTTCTAATTAACTCGTACATATGGAGCTTTTTAAGAGTGATGGAACTCTACCAGTTGCTGAATTGACACTAAGGATGACCTGTAAGTATGCTTAACATACTATTTTTAATTCAGGGAACTCAAATATTTTACAGTGCCACTACATTTTTTCTGAATCAAGCCATACTTGTTAAAGAATATACCACACACACAGAAGCAGCCTTCATATTTTTTCTAGCAAATAAACTAGTATAGGAGGATAATCTTGAATTTAGGCAGAATAAGAACGAATGCCAATGATTTGACTATCATATCTGTTTACCTGTTAAAATTCATGATGATATTAGAAGTCCCTGATAGAGATTTTATTGGAAATGTAATGGAAGGAAATAAAAGTTCTTTAAAAACCTTTAATTTATGTTAATTCAATAAAAATAGTTATTTTATACTTAAAAAAGACATGTCATTTCTCAAAGTTATAAAAGTTATTCCTCTCGGAGAGCCCGGCAAGCTACCAAGAGTATCCCGCCCGCTCAGTAGAGCCTGGCAAGATCCCTGTGGCGTGTTCTATATGCCAAAAACAGTAACAAGTCTCACAATGGAGACGTTACTGGTGCCCACTGGAGCAAATCGATGAACAATGGGATGACAGTGCTATAAAAGTTATTACCCTAGTGACCAATACTACATTGTCAGTAGGCTAATAACTGAGTAATATAAGATGATTTGTATTTCAGGAAAACAAGATTTCTCTTAAGAGAGCATCACAGCCTGCTTAATTACAGGGCATGTTCAGTAATACTTTATCCACTCACTTTTATCTGAACAGCTTATTAATATACCATTTAAATAATTACTACATTTTGGTATTATGTTAACTTTTGTACTTAAGTTCTATAGGGGTGATTAGTCTTTTCAAAGCACTATGCAACGGTCAGAGGCAAATGTATAATATAGAAAATATAGCTAAAAAATGCTGAACCTGTGTGGTTCTGCTCTGTTGGTGGAGCTTTGTATAGAATCTGTATCCCTGCCTTCAAGATCAACTGAGGAACCCTGGAAAAGCTGGAATTTCAGGTGACTCATTAGAGGAGAGGTTGGGATTTATAGTCAGGAAGAGGAAAACATCTTCATTCTGATCTGTGGATAAATGATCTATGATATGGTACAAATTTCAAAGAAAATCACGATTGTTTTCAAATCAGAAAAAAAATACAGTGCTGGTCTACTAAAATAGAGCCTTCAATAGCTAAATTTCCTTGCTTACTCTTATCAGTGTATGAAATGCATATATATCCAAATGTTAATAAAGAAAGCAGTTTTATTAGATTGCCCTTTCTAAGTAGGTGAAATATCAGTCAAAATTGAAAAGCATTCTTTTAAACAAAAAAAAAGCTTATATTTTAGCTTGTTTTCTTTCTGCACAGAGACACATACGTTAAGGAAATATCTCATTAATCTTTTAACTTAAGCACAATGAGCTAATTTATAGGGAGAATGAAAATAATGCATCTTCACATTCAGCTTGCCTATAGTGCAGACAGCTGTAAGAAAAGAATCCATGAGAAATCAGCTAGAAATCTGCCTCATGCAGTCAGTGCTCAATTTTTAGAAACAATTAAAGCAAGGGAGGGGAAGAGAGAAAACAGATGAGGCTACACTGCAGCCTCAGTTAGTCTTCCCTGTCTCCCTCATAAAATATTAAAATTTTAAGTTCTTTCATCTTCAACAATTAGGTTTTTTTCCATTATTTTTAGTTCCCTATAGTCGAGGCAAGAAAGGCTCCAGAGGTCTTTTACTTACCTATTTTGCAGAATTTTTAAAGCACTGAAAATTGTGGGTGGGGGTTGGGTTGAGTATAAAGATCGCTCTCTATCGCTCTCTTGCTCTCTCTCTCTCTCTCTCTCTCTCTCTCTTGCTTGCTTGCTCTCTCTCCCTCCCTTTCTCTCCCTTCCTTTTGCTGAAGCTAAAGCAAAGGGGGATAATATATATATTTTTTTAAAGGAGGGAAGTAGGGGGTGGTGGAGGGAGCGGAGAGACTAAGAGCAAAAAAGCCAGCAAGCTAGAGACGTGCTGGGAATGCAATGGGCCTTTCAATGGGCTTCTTTAGGATGCAGAACTGCTGCTTGGCACTCAAAGGAGAAGGGAGAAGGGGCTGCTGCAGGATTCTAGCTTCACCACCACAGCCTGTGCTGATGAGGCTGTTCTCTCTGGGTACCAGCAGCACATCATTGGGCACCCAGGAGAAGGGCGGGAGGAATGCAGGGAGAAGAGATGCCTCAATCACGGTGTTGAACCTCAGACTTCTTACATCCTGTTTTTTTCTTCCTTCTTTTTAACGTGCACTGTAACTCTGGAACTGACTTTTCTGCATTATGAAAATGAGCTCCAAGAAAGGGAACACTTATCAGGCAGAATCACTTAGGAAACCATGACAATTCAGTGTGTGTGTGTGTGTGTGTGTGTGTGTGAGAGAGAGAGAGAGAGAGAGAGAGAGAGAGAGAGAGAGAGAGAGAGAGAGAGAGAAGTAGAGAGAAAAAGAAGAGCAGGAGGAATGCTTAGCATGAGGTCATGCATGATCACTATTCAGTGTGCATGGTGTTGTGTGTGTGTGTGTGTGTGTGTGTGTGTGTATTTAAGAGAAGACAAAAGAACTCAAGGGTCCAGATGACAAACTGTCAAAATAAGAGAAGACACTGAAAGATCAATCAGGCCATAAGAAACTTTCCTTTGGTGTGGAAGGAGGAGAAGTGGGGGGAGGAGTATAATATTCTTTTTTTTTTTAACTATCAAGGAAACCATGGCCTGAATGCTTTGCTGTTCTAGGTCTTCAAAGCTTCCCTTGCTAATGTATATTGCTTGAAAAGTAATACTATCTTTCAGAATGATCTTTTTTACAGCAGTAGTTTCTCTCAAAGATATAGATTGGAAGGGCATTTAAGTGCTTAAGGCCAAAGAATTGACTCTAGCTGATTCTGCTTGGGTCTCCTGAATAAGGAAACGCTCAAGCAATCTGAGCAACGGGGACTGAGTTTCTCCTGCATTTTGCTTCGATCTCTTTGCACCAGGCATCCTTTTACTGTGCTGCAGCTTAAAGCCTGCAATATTTTTGGATTCAACAGACACGTATTTGCTTCCATATTTTAAAAATCAGAGACAAACCCATGGAGACTCAGACTGTTTGGGTAACAATAGCACATTCAATTTTTCTATTGGGAAACACCTAGAGAACCTAGGGGGTGGGATCTCAGGGATCGAGATTTTCTGTCTTTTTTCCCCCTTTCTTCTATTTTCTCTTTCTTCCCTCCCCCCCCCCATAGGTGTTTCTCCTCATTATTTGGGGGAAGTGATGGTAGGGAGTGGCAAAGATGAGGATGATTGAGGGAGGAGGCTGCAGTTAAAAGAGGCACCAGGGCATGCTCCATAGGGCCCCTCAATAAATAGCAAGATTTTTTAATGGTTCAACTAGCAGCTCTACCTAAGGGCTCGCCTGTCCTGCCGGGTGGGAGAACACACAGCTGGGAGGGCAATTTCGAGAGAGGCAACATGCAGCAAAGGAGTCTATTGTGCATCATGGATGCACGGCACCATCTCTACACACACATACATGCATCAGTTCTCTCACAGACAAATGGGGACAGACGGGACTTTTCTGTTCCCTAAAGGACTGGTCTGAGCCTGAGTTGCCCCGGGGTTTCAAGGTGCCAGCAGAGGGGGCTTTCCTTTAAGGCACACTTTTTAAGGCACAAAAAGGAAATTTATTTTAAACATGTTTTTTTTTTTTAAAGAAAAGCAGTTTGTGTAAAGCTTTTCTTTAACCATTCTAACTATATAGAAATCACCTAACTCAAAGTGTTCCTTGAACAGCCCTCTTAAGCAATTTGCTTGCTATTTTGCATTAAAAATGACCACACATGTGTCACTGTTACATACAGTATCTCACCCGGGAAACTGCAACCCAAGACTAACTACAGGAGGGCAGGATTCTCTAACATTCCCCAACTTTAATATTCCACACCCAATCAATTCTTCAGATAGGTGTCATCAATGAAGCAAACACGGAAAGCCTGAACATCGAACCAGAGCAACCCTATCTTCTTCACCCACTGCCGCCCTTCCTCCTCCTTCCCTCCACACCACCTTCTGCACCCTATGGAAGCAGTGACCATTTAGCTCATCCTTTGCAAACCCTTGATGCACTGGATAGAATGGGCAACCTTATCTGATCTCCCCAGCTCCTGTAAATAGTCCTCTGCCTAAACATCTTTAAATTCTTGACATGTGGCAAGTTCTAAAGCTTCCGTTCCCCTTTCCCTTTTCTTTATCTCAGTATGGCTTGTCCACCAGCTTCAAAAGTTAGAGCCGAAGCAAGGCCAGGATCCTTCTAATCCCACTAGATATTCCGGGCACCATTTATTTCTCTCCAGAGCACAAGAAGCTCTTTCTCTCTACAGTGCCCCCTCTCCATCTCTTCCTTCCCCTCTGCCCAACATCTCTGAGCTAATTTACTCCTGTCTAAGATTAAATATTCCAATATGGAAGCAAACGATCTCCTCTAGAACAAATAATTGAAATGCTGCATCATTCATTTTCCGAAGAGCGCTGAGCCATCTACCGAGGATTTCCTAATCTGCTGTCTCCCGCGAAACGCACAATGGTTCGGTTTAGAAACGGAAAATGATTTTTTTTTTTAAGCTCCGGCCGTGCCATTTTCCTTCCATCTTTTTTACCAAGCCAGAGAGATCCGCTGGGGGAGGGGCTCTTCGCTCGGATACCTGGCCTATTTGTTGGGGTTCCTGAGGATTTTCTCCCCCAGAACAGGGGTCCGCGGGGATGCTGGCCTCCGGTCTCACCCCTCTTGCTATTGTCCTGACAGTGGTGGCCGCATTCCGGCAAAAACGCAACATTCCCCAGCACCCGTGCGCGGCGGCGACCCATCCTAAGGGTCCCACCGTGCCTCCCTCCCCGGCGGCGACCCAGCCTAGGGTCTGACCAGCCTCCCTCCCGGGCGCGACCCATCCTAAGGGCCCCACCTGCTCCCTCCCCAGCGACGATCCATCCTACGGGTCCCACCTGCCTCCCTCCCCGGCGGCGACCCAGCCTAAGGCCCCCTCCGGCTCCCTCCCCGGCTGCGACCCATCCTAGGGCCCCACCGAGCCTCCCTCCCCCGCGGCGACCCATCCTAAGGGTCCCTCCCGGCGGCGACCCTCCTGAGGGTCCCACCTGCCTCCCTCCCCGGCGGCGATCCAGCTAGGGCCCCACCTGCTCCCTCCCGGCGGCGAGCGCGCCCGGTGGGCCGAGCAGGAGGCGCGAGTACCTAGCGGCGCAGCACCCCGCGCCCGGCTCGGGGGCTCCCGGCTGCAGGTGCGGGCTCCGGGCGAGGCGGCGCCGCGTCCATAGCCGGCCGTGGTCCTCCTCCTCCTCCTCCTCCTCCTCCTCCTCCTCCTCCTCCTCCTCCTCCTCCAGAGAGGCCGCCGGGTCACGCCCGCGCTCCTCGGGGCTGTCTCCGCCTCGGAGAGTCGCGGGGCGAGGGTCGCCGCATCCCCGCGGGAGGGGAGAACCCGGTGGCCGCGGCCCCTGCCGCGCGGCTCCGACCTGCGCCCGCGGCGCTGGCGACGGAGGCGGGGGGGCGCTCGGAGGGGTCCGCAACGCTCGGACCCGCGCCGCGGGGCTGTCCCCTCGGGGCCGCTCGGAGGGGCCCGCCGCGCTCGCTCGGACCCGCGCCGCGGCGCTGTCCCCTGGGGGCCGCTCGGCGCCCGAGCCCCGGCCCGCGCGGTCCCCGCGGTCCCCGGCTCCCCGAGGCTGTCCCCGCCGCGGGCGTCTCGGCTGCCGACCCCCGGGGTGGGGGCGGGGCGGGGGGAGCGCGGGTCCCGCGTCGCAGCTGGCGCGGGGGGCGGGCGGGGGGCGGACGCCGCGGCGGCTCGCAGCCCCCGGTCCGGCTCGGGGGCCGAGCGCGCTGCCCGCCGGGGACGCGCGGCCGGGGACGCGCTCCCGCCACTCACCGTGTCTGCGCCGAGCGCGGGGCCGCCCGGGGACGGCTCCGAGAGGGGACCCGCCGGCCGCAGGCACCGTCCGCCACCGCCCCCAGCCGCGCGGGGAGCGCCCGGAGCAGCCGAGCGGCCCAGCCCGCCGCCCGCGCCCCCCGCCCGCGCCCCCCCGCCCTCCCCCGCGCCGACCGGGTGCAGCAGCCGCAGTCCCGCGCAGCCCGGCCTGCAGGAGGCGGGGAGCGGGGAGCAGGCAGGCTGCTCGCGCTCTCCTCCCTCCCCCTCTCCCTCCCTTCCTCCCTCCCTCCTTCCCTCCGTCCCTCCCTTTCTCTCTCTCTCTCTCTCTCTCTCTCTCTCTCTCTCTCTCTCTCCCTCTCTGTCTCTCTCTCTGTTTCTCTCTCTCTCTCCTCCTCCTCTCCCTCCCTCCCTCTCTTTCTCTCTCTCACTCTGGCTCTCTCTATCTGTCTCTCTCTCTCTCTCTCTCTCTCCCTCTCTCCAAGGAAGCAGGCTCTCTTGCTCGCTCGCTCTTTCTCTCTTCCCCTCCCCCTCTCCTGTCCTTCTCTGTCTCTGTCTCTGTCTCTGTCTCTCCTCCTCCTCCTCCTCCTCCTCCTCCTCCTCCTCCTCCTCCTCCTCCCTCTCCCCGCTCTCCCTCCTCCTCCTCCTCTCTTCCTCCCCTCCCCATCCCCACCCCCGCACTCCACTTTTCTGTTACTTCTTCCTTTATTGGTCACAATCTGGCAGTTTCACAAAGAAAATCCCTGTTAAATTAAGTGTCAGGAAACCAGCAATCTGTGGATTGATTTTAACTTGATCAGTACGTGAGAAATGACTACTTGGAAAATTCCCGTCGCGGCTGGAAGGGTGGGAGGCTGGGGAGGAGGGCAGAGGGGCGGCGATCACATTAAAAGCATCTGAGCTGTATGGGTGGGTGGTATGGTGAAACGCCGCCTTTCTAGAAACTGTTTCCAAGTGATTTGGAAGAGTTCCCCACCTTCATGATACAGAGAGCACAATTTCCAAGTGCACGCATTTCTCAATCTATTTACTCTCCCTTGCTAGGAGAAACATTAAACTCTTGGGTGAGGGGCAGTGACCAGGAGGGCATTTTTCTGGAGACATGCTGGATACACTTCCTGGCGAAAATTAAATGAGAACAATGGGACAGGTATTACCCCTATTTCAAAGTATTATTACTATTATTATATACCACTGGAGGCGGCCGTTACCCCCACTGCAGTTGTACTAATGCAGTCATTTAATGCTCCATTCGATCTGCAGTTTAAACCAACACAGTTCTTTCTTTTTAATGGCTCCCTTTAATCAGAGACTGAGTTACCGAGCGGACAGTCTTCCACCTGCTCCTAAAAATGAATAGAAGGTCGTCTGAGGAATCATTTCTATATCTCTTGTTTTTCTTTTCTAAAGTGGAGGCAACAAATTGACCAAGTCAAGTGGGTTGTGTAGCTTCACTTATAAGTGTGGAAGTAAATTGAACTCTACCCTATTTCCAAAAACTCTTTAAAAGCAACGGTGCGAAGAAGTAGTGTGGTTTTTATCTGTATATTAAAACACCCGAGAAACAGGCCTGACAGTATGACTTTAGTCTTTCATGGACTTTCTAATCACTGCTATACATACCATTATTAATCTAATGTCCTATTTACAACTTTCTAAGTTCTAGTGTTTTTATTATTACTTAAAAGAGGAAGATAATTAAATAGGACATAGTGAAATTCGGGGATCTGAAAATTTGGGACCTTATTCATTTGTCTTTCGCTTTACCGGACATGACTTCCACTACCCAGCTGTCGCCACACTCCAGGACGCTTTCCGGACCCGCGCGGCCGCTTGCGGCACATCATAAGACACTAAATACCCATCTTCTGGAATTGTCGTACCATATTTGATAGGGTTCAAATATGGTAACACCTACAAGGGTGATTAGAGGTCACCCCAAAAGCCTCTATCCCTCTTGGAAAGACTGGCAAGCTACCGAGAGTATGAGAGTATTCCGCCCGCACGGAAGAGCCTGGCAAGCTATCCGCTGTGTATTCGATATGCCAAAACCAGTAACTACAATTGGTCTCATTCACCTGACCCTGAAGGCTTCACCGACATGACAGCACTGAGAAGGACTGCATTAACATATGCCTCAGAGACCTGGGCCCTACGCAAACAAGATGAGAACTCCATTCAGGTCTCCCAAAGAAGAATAGAAAGAGCTATGCTTGGAATATCACGTTTCACTCAAATGAGAGAATGAATCCGGAGTTCTGACATCCGTCAATGATCAAGGATCAGGGACGCTGTCTCATTTGCCAAGGTGTCGAAAATCAGATGGGCTGGTCACGTAATGAGATTTAAAGACGACCGTTGGACTAGAGCTGTTACTGATTGGATTCCACGGGATGTCAAGAGACCGCGTGGCCGCCCACCTACCAGATGGTCAGACTTCTTCGTCAAGATCATGAACGATTGGTTTGAGGCCCTTCATGTTCCCGGAGCGAACAGATGCCATTGGGCTACACTAGCACGCGACAGGGACAAATGGAGACGTTACTGGCGCCCGCTCGAGCAAATCGACGACTAACGGGAACTTAAGTGATTAAGTGATTAAGTGATTATTCATTTGTCTTATCCTTCTATGCCTTTGTGTCTGACAATTTAGTACAGCAACTGTTGATTATGCATAGAGAGTTTAGGTTGCTTTTTAAAATAATGTTTTCATTTGTTTTTCAAAGTACTCTTTTCTGAGTTTTCTGGGGGGGGTTGTTTGTTTATTTGTTTGTTTTTTGCTTTTTGGGTCACACCTGGCATTGCAGGAGGGTTACTTTTGGCTCATGCACTCAGGAATCATTCCTGGTGGTCCTCCGTGAACCAAATGGGATGCTGGGAATCGAACCTAGGTCAGCCGTGTGCAAGGCAAATGCACTACCCACTGTACTATAGCGCAGCCCCTTCTGAGTTTTTTTGAGATTACTAAGGTGTGTATATGCAAAAACTAAAAAATTGAATATATATATGCATGTGCATATATATACACATATGCGTATGTATATCATATATCTTGAGATCTACTGGAATGATTTCCATCTAAACTGCCCTCTTCCACATGAATTTTATATATGTGAAAACATGAGTAATAAAGAACATTCGAATTTCTTTTTTTTTTTTATAATGTAGGAGTACTGCTTTTTAATCAGTCATTGATTAAGCTGACTGAATTGGGCATGAACTCCACATTACTTTTTTTTTTAAATTCAGAATGTTAATTTAATTTTATTATTATCCCCCTTTTTTCCCTTTTTTCCCTTTTTATTGATTCGTGAGATACAGCCACAAAGCTTTCATGTTTGAGCTTCGGTCATACAATCATCAAACACCCATCCCTTCACCGGTGTACATTTTCCACCACCCAAATCCCTAGTATTCTCCCGTCCCCACTCTGTTCCAACCCTTACCCTGCCTGTGTGTCAGACAATTTCCCCCATACTCTCTCTCTACTTTGCTTACATTTGATATTTTGACACCAGCCCCACCTCCACTCAAACCTGCCAAAAAAGGCAATGCTAGACAATTTGTTTTGTGTTGCTTGTTATGGATAGAATATAATGTCCAGGAAATTCTATGTCATTCTCTTCCGGAGCTTTAGTTTACAGTCTCTGGGTCTTGGCTATTGATGAGATTACATGGCACTGCTGGGGATGGTTTGTGGGTGTGACTGCCAAGCTACTGGATAACTGGGGACCTGGGGTAGGAGGCCCTGTCCTGATCCAAGTGGGCTTGGATATCTCAGTCACAGGTTCTCGCATACCTGGGTTTTCCTGCCAGTCCACTCTCAGGTGAGGTTTATCCAGTCTTGGGTGAGGCTCATCCAAGCGTGTGGAGAGTGGCCTTGGGCATGGCGAGGATTGGGTTCTAGGGGTTTTTGGCTGCTGAGGTTCTACTTGGGGGGGGGACTCAATCCCTCTGAGATGCCCAGGTGAAGATAGCCTGGAATGGGGTCAGGACATTCTGCGGGACTCTCTTCCAGGAGTTTTAGAATAAGGCAAATAAATGAGCTTATATAGCTAAGCTAGAGGTGGTTTGTGGGTGTGTCTCCCACGTACCTAACTTTTGGCCTTTTAATTTCTTGGTAAACTTGGCCCCAAGTTGTTGGGGTCTGGCCAAAGGCACAGCAGCAATTTTGGGGTATCTGGAAGTCTGAAGGCAACATCAGGCTGACCAGGTACAGGTTGACCTGTTGGCAACACCATACACCCTCAGATTTTTTCTTAATTAGCCACTAAATTGAGTTTTAAAGAGACACTCTCAGAAAGGGTTAGAGAGAAGGTCCATTTTATACAAAATTAATTACAAGAAAACAAATGACAGATATAAGTAGATTGAGAAGTCATAGAAATGTATCATCCCCTTT